TGATTTTATCACTAAAAGTTATATTGTAAGAAGTTATTATTTGAAATGTACAATTAGAATTAATTATTTCTTTCTATTTTTAGATAAATCCAATATTAGCAAAAGACCAGTACTCAATGAAATGGATCAATGGAAGTGTAAAATATCAAAGGTAAGAATTCTTTCTCAATATAAATGTTTCACTCTAAAAATAAAGTAAAGGGAAATTTTATATACATTTGAAGAGAAAAAAATGTTTTGTCAATGACAAGTGTCAATGAAATGTGTCAATTCTCATTGTCTAAAGTACAGAAATATTATAACAAAAGCAATTATTAAAGTAACTTAGTTTCCAAAAAAATGTATAACAAAAATTCATCATTACTGAATGAACGTCATTATTAGTCTCTTTTTTACTTCAATTTTAATTCATTATACTAAAACCTTATCATTCAGAAAGAATGAATTCACTTTTTGTGCACAGTATATAATCGTCATATTATTAATATTAATAATTATAAATCAATTTGTGGTTGGATATAAGTCATTTTGGGCTTGATTGCTTTTAACTGAAATTTATATAGATGTTGCATAAGTCGTGCAAAGATAATATAGTTGTTGCTGGAGACAAGTGAAAAGTTCTATATTGGATTAATTTTATTTGAAAAAATACAAATTGTTTACTTTTTGTGTTTCTTTATGATTTCTAACTCTATTTTCTACGGGTTAAAATTATTCTTTATTTTTCACGCTCAATGAATTTAATATGACAATGCTTCGCATTTGAAAAAATGTAGATGGCAGCACCATCGCTCTTGTGCACATCTATGGAGAAACAGTTATATACGGCTACTGTATGTGTGATCTTTCCTTTATGTTGATATACGATTTCCGCCAAACTTGCACAAGCGACTCTGTTCTCGATTAAAATGGCGGAATACTAAGATTGTGCTCTGATTAAAATGAGAAATTTTTAATATTAGTGTCATTAAATATTTATGTTTGTGCTTTTGCGCAATGCTTGTGTGACTAGTTCTTCAGGTGAGTGAAGGTTTAATTATATGTGCTACGTAGAATAATTACGAAGTGATTTTGTTTTTGGTGTAAGCCATTCCGAACTACAGATGTTATAATTACCCGGTAAAAATTAGAAATTGCTTATAATTTGAATCCTCGATTGTTCACGCATCAATTAATTTAATAAAAGCTAAGCTTTTGATTAACTTGGCTGTATGCAGTACAGCAGATAATATAATTTAGCTTACTCTATATATAATGTTCTTCTGATTTTTAACTGATGTGAATGCAAAGCTTTTATGATTTTTTTGTAATTTTATGGAATAAGTTTTGACAAATTGGTATGAGAATTAGAAAATGGTGCCATTTGAATTAAAAACTTTATTTAGTCGCAATTTTAGAGAATGTAATCATCATTTTTGTTAATATTTAAATATTGTTCAATTCTGAAAAGCTTAAAAGCTTAAATTGTCGATTCATTTTGCTTCATCACTTCAAGTTCAGTACATTCCAATTTAATAAAAGTTAAATGTTTTTGAGATATGATTTATATTCTAAGTGTGAAATCTCAATTACATTAAGTACTCTTTTTATTCCAGATATTAAATGGAGAAGTGGTTCAGTAAAGGAAAATTATCTAATAACAGCACTCAAATTAAGAACAGGTAAAATTAAGATTTTTTTTTATTTCCTATTCAATTAGCTCTATTATTCACTTAATTTCATTGATTAAGAAACAAACATCATTTTATTCCTAGAATTCTATTACATTAATTGTTACCATATTTTTAATTTACTTACAATTTGTTTTGATTTCGATTTTATCACTAAAAGTCGTATCGGATCTGGTTAAATGTTTTTCTTTGTTGCAAAATATGCAAATATAATAAATTATTATTTCTATTTTTAGGTAAATCCAACATCAGCAAAAGACCAGCAGTCAATGAAAATGATTAAAATGGAGGCTTAAGATGTCAAAGGTAAGAATTTTTTTTGAAAATATCATAAATGTTTTACTGTAGAAAGACATATTATATAATTTTGAAGAACAAAATTTATTTGCTAAATGATAAGTGCTTCATAAACAGTGTTGTAATATTTCAATTTCCATTTTCATAATATTGTCTGAAGTACAAAAATATAACAAATATAATTATTTCATATCTTATAGCACTAATTCCCAAGAGAAATAGTTTTGCTGATATAAGTTTTGTGAAAAATTAAATTGATCACCAAAATTGTACAACATAAAGAAACTAATTATTAAAGAATCAACGCCATTATTATTTTTCTTCAACCTCTTTTATTGTTGAGAAAGATTGAAATTACTTTTTGCGCTCAGTATATATATAATCGTCATTAATTATTGTAGGAATAATTAAATATGTATATCAATTTCTGGTTTTGGTTTAATTACATCTTCTTGATGATTTGTAACCTTTTATTTTATATGGCAATGTTTCGCATTCGAATAAGTATAGATGGCAGCACCATCGCGCTTTTG